ATCAGGCATCAGAAGACCCAAAACAAAAATCATATCTATGCAAATGAGGGGATTCAGAGTGGGGACCCAAAGTCCATCTGTAGACAACTGGACATCCCCTCCCAGAAAGGTCACAAGGAAGGGACAAGTCAGCCACAGTGAAGTACACCAATGATGAAACACACAACATTCCTCTAGTTCTTTAATGCTTCCTCCCCACAACTATCATGACTCCAGTTCTACCTTACAAATCTAGCTAGACCAGAGCATGTACACAGGTACAGAAAAGAGCTCTTGACACACGGAGCCCAGGACAGATAAATCCCTCCAGTACAGTCATGGGAGTAGTGATATCATGAGGGGAAGGGGAAGGTGGGGAGAGAAGGTGGAGAAAGGGGGACCCAATCTCAATGATCAATGTATAAACCCCACCCCACACACTGAGAAAGATGAATAACAGAAACGTGGGAAGGGAGAGAGTAGATGGTGTAAGATATGAAAGTAATAATAATTTATAATTTATCAAGGGTTGACAAGGGTGGGAGACTGGAGAGGGAGGGGAAAAAAGGAAGCTGATATCAAGGGCTCAAGTAGAAAGATAATGTTTTGAAAGTGATGATAGCAACATATGTACAAATGTACTTGATACAATCATTTAAGGATTGTTAAAAGAGCTGTAAGAGCTAACTCTGCAGAAATCAGCTCAGGAAAGTTACTAAGAGGGAAATTCCACACTGCAGGGTTGCAGGAGGGGCATTATAAAGATAAATAGGCACAGATCCACTAGAATTTGAGGAGCTTGGGGCTTTTGGTTTACCACAGAGGAGGCCAGCTAGAGTTTGACCTTAGGCCAGCCACTGTCTCAGCCAGAGCCAGGATCATTTGGAGCCAGCTCAGGGGCTTTATGGCAACACAGCCACAGCTTGTCAAAGCCTGGGAGCAAGATTTAAAATGCTCCAGGGAAAGGGACTCAGCAATATTGTTACTTTTGTTTCTCTCTCCTCTTTCTCCCACCACAGTCTCAGC